GGCAATGTGAGACTTTTAAAATCATAAGCAGACACTTGTAGTAACAAACCCCCAGGGCTCTAAAAGTGGGAAGTGATGTAGGACTGCATTGGAATTCTAAAATTGCCAGCTGATTTGCAGGGGATTTTAAATACACACACAGACACACACACACACACACACACATATATATATATACATATGAGACCAAAATTTATATAGTTTAGAAAAGTGATCTATGCCACACAGCAAGCACTTGAAGCTGTGAGAATGTGGTGTCCCACCCTTAAGGAGAAGGGAGAACTCAAGATTCGTAGACGCTCGTGGTTGAAAGGAATGGTCAGAGGTTCTGCAAAAGCTTATAGAGTTTTATTAATAATTTACACACTTGGCAAGGACATTGTTATTCAAGTCCCTGACCTCCCAGCATAAGCATATAGCAGTGGGTTTTGGATAAGGGGTAGAGTGAAAGGGAAGAGAGAGACAGATATGAATTAAAGAGTGTGAGAGAGAAAGGAAGGAAGAAAGAGAATTAGAGAGATCACCTGTTCTAGCCCCAGCACTGATCCAGCTGGAGTATCCAGGGTCCTGGGCCGCACACATGCCTGGGCTTTGTGGGGATACCATTTTATAGATATGTTAACCCTGTTCTGGAGGTAAGCTTCTCACTTTCTATGCAAATTAGTTATCATGCACATTTCTTTCTTCTAGATCTTTCTGGAAATAGGTTGGAGGCTTTAAGGGTCTTTGATGGTCATAATCTATAGTGCATGTCCATTTCTCAATCTCATTGCTGCACTTGCCCTGTACTGTGTTGTGCTTATTCTGTTGCACCAGAACAAAGACATCTGTCCCAGAAAAGTGCTGCTCTAACTCTATATGGGCCCCTTCTCCACCCACATCCTGTTCTTTCTCACAGTGTGTTATTACCAACAATTCTTGGTTGGTTCCATGGATATCCAGCTATCAGTTTTTGAACCACACACATTTAAGTCCCTTATCTTTTAGGCTTCTACAGAGAAACCACTCAGATTTGGCTACTGACTCTTCTCTGATGATGTGTAGCAATGTTACAGTCATATGAATGAAAAGTGCTTTGTGAGCCTGGACTCTGCAATAATTCATGAATATGTGAACCCCATGTTGCTACATCCTATCAGGCTCTACCCAATAAAAAATGCTACTATGTCCTGAAGCACCCTTATTTCAAACAGTGGTATCTTGTGCACCTAAATGTTCCTCCTGATAAAATTAAAAGCACAAGTCCTTGTACAGAGTAAAAGATTTCCAAAGAAGCTCATGTGCTGTGCTCTGATGTTCTGAAACCTATTTTTGAAAAAGTTTACAGCAGAAAACGAAAGTCTTTATGGCTTCCTCCACTTCTCCTTTTTGAAAGGTGAAACAACTGAAAAGTTGGTCATAGTGTAGCTACATCTATGCAGAGACTAGATTATCTTCTGTTGCTTTGACTTCCTATATGTTGCATTTAATGCTATAAATACAACTTGTAGAATCAAATAAACAAATTATCACAGGAACACACACACCAAAAGCTATTTAATAACATTTCATTTAATCTCTTACTAAGTGTTTCATGGAACATATTTAACACTTTAAAATGTAATACTAAGCATGCCTACATATTTCACAGAAATACAGAAAACACACTGCTAAAATGAAAGAAGGCCAATTTGATAAATGCAATATTATTAGCATAAGCTAATAGTTAGCTCAGCACTTATAACAGTAATGAAACTGGCCCTTTGCAATTCAACTGTGCAACATCAACTACAGCTGAAGAAACTATAGTTCATGAATTTATTTTCTAAAGAAGAAAAGGAAGTCACTACTGTCTCTATCTACAAGCCCATTCTGAGATCAATGATATGAGAAATGGGCAGTTTTCCATCTCTGCACTCTCAACCTCTGCCTCAAGACACCAACTTTTAAATTTGATTTACATGGCAGGGACACAGACACACCTCTACTTGGACTGCAGCAGCATTAGAGAGGAAAAAGGAGGTAGGGGGAAAGAGACTGTGTGTCTCAGAAGCACTCAGATACAATGGAAGTCCATTTGCCAGGTGAGGTAGGACCAAATCATTGTGTGTAGAAGACCTACACAGACATTGTCCCAGCGAGATTTCTCAAAGGCACCAACAAACAATAGAAGACAAGACAGCTCAGAATTCAAAGTTAGTTATTCTGGCTATTATCTGGTAGCGCATTGCAGTGACTGCACTCAGAGATTATTGTGATCTGCTAATTGCACAAATGGATTAATTACTAACTGTCTCTTGCCCGTATCTGTCAGCTTATTGTCCAACAATCCAAGACCATTCCTGTTTTCCTGTCCAAAGTCCTCAACCAATCCTGCCAAATCTGCTCTCCTTGCCTTCGCACATTGTGTAAGTACAAGACACATTTCAAGTTTCTGCATAAAGGAACCCAAAGCAGACACATCAATTATTTGTGAAATTCCATCCGTAAATCTGACATCACATTCACTTCTGCACCTTACTGAAACGGCTGCAGTGTCACGCAGAGCTGTAAAATACATTAACATCTGGCAGCAGAAAACATGAGCCACCTTCATGTGCTCAACTGTGGCACATTGAAAAAGTCAGCATTTCTTGAAAATATTACTAAAATGCTTAGCTGTCTGAGCAAGTTTCATACTTGCACCCTTCTACATTATCCAGTTTTAATTGAGTAATGTAGTAATAATTGAGATGAATAATTCTAGTGTCAGAAGCTTTATCTTTCCAATTTTCATATCAGAAAAAGTCTGAAAGGAAATAAATTACCTTGCCCTTGTCTGGACTGGTCTGATTTTTTTTCCTCCAGTAACATGTTTATGATCTTTATAAGGATACTGCTTTTCTGGAGAGCCATACTGCAGCAACACATAAAACAGCTAAGACTGAAGAAGATGTTTGGAGAAAACCTCTTCCTCTAGATTAAAGGTGTCAGATGCTTTCACTTTTTATCATTGTCTTTATTTCAGCAATAAACGTGCCGAAGTTCACACAAGCCCAAATCCAATTTAAAAAGAGCCAGCTTAAAACAGAGTGAGACAATTAGCCACAAGAACCGCTACAGGAAGAATGTATCAGTAAAATCTTAAACCACCTCGGCTATCTTAAAATTGGACTTGTCCACACCTCTACTTTAGTAGAGATATGTATCATGCTGCCAGACCACATTTCAGAGGAGGAACCTAGATAATTTTGGTTCAAGTGAGTTGCTCAAACTATATCAGTATAGTTAATGTAGTACAAAGTGAAAGAGATAAAAATAAGAAAATATTTCAGGCCAAAACCAAGCAGTTTGGCAGTTTAAACAGAGACTGTGAAAAACAGAACTGTATTTGAAAATCTAGAATTAAAAGCAACCACAACAAACTAATTTTGTTTTTTAAAAATAAAACGTTCAAACAGATTATTCAATGAAGAAAACAAATCTCTGATTTCTGTCTCATGTTCATCTTTTGTCATCTAGTGACTGTGGAAAGAATACCTATTCCACTAATATCTACTTACAGTCCTCAAAAAAACCCTGGAATTTTGTCCACCGGTATCAAAATTCTCAAATTCAAGAGCAATAACAGCACAGAGTATGTTTCTCTGTCTTGTTGCTGTTATTAATTAAGTCCCATTTGCTGCTCCTGAATGGCTGTTATTTAGTTGCACTGGATGGGTGTGTAGAAAGTAATGGAAGATGGATCAACAGCTGTAGTTATTATGAAAATTATGGCACTGCATGAGAGGAATTGCAGCTGCTCAATTCATGCAAATAAGAGCTACTTGATAATGCCTATAATTACACAGCATGTCAAAACAGCATAGCTGGAGTGTAAGTAGAGAGTGCGTATTTTAAAAAGCCAAAAGATTTCCATTTCATTATATTCCCATTCCCTAAATGCCTATTTAGAGATAACAAGAAACACTTTCTGTCGACAGGCTCACAGATACAGAAAGGTCTGCTGAGTCTCCCAGGTGCATTCTCCTGCCAGCACGGCAGCTGTCAAACACAGAGCCTCTCTGCTATTTCTAACACAGTCTGGACTCACATCACAGCTGGGGCTTCAGCTCACTGTGTGCTGAGCAGAGATGAAGAAAGATCCAGCCACATCTACTTTCAAAGCAAAGGAAGATTGCTTCCAAGTGGCTCAGACAATGCAGATACCATCTCCTCTATCCAAAGCCTGGTCTTGATACCTGGAACAGCACTGTAATATTCTAGTTTACTTTGCTTTTGAGTGTACCTTCTTTCAGCTTGTTTGGGGCAATTCCCTTCCCACTTCAGGCACTAAGGCCCTCTTCAAAAGCACATTTCCTTTCCTTAGATGAAAACCTCACTAAAAGCTTCTCATTTTCAGAGATGCTGCCCACTGTGCTTATCCTGCTACATCTGTAGGCTGTTTACACATTAGCAATGGTTTATATAAAGTGACATTTTATTACTTTAGTGTCTTCCCATTCCTGTTCTGCCTGTTTAATTAAAGCACTCCTTTTTTTGCCAGTTGTGTCTGCTAACAAATCCCTGCACCTGCATGTAAAAAAAAAACAGGGATGAAACCTCATTTGTTTTACTCTGCACCTCAAATTCTTGTTTAAACAGCTGCACAGCACAAAATTACGTTACAAATAATAAACACAGAACAAGAAATACAAGAGTAATGAACATATTTATTTATTTTTATTTACGACATTCACAAAAAGAGACACAGGGAGATACACAATTTTGCAAGCCTCCTACCTCTTATTCAGGGGTGAGTTGGACGCACTTGGTGTGTTAAAACAGTCAGTTGCTAAAGTTCCTTACTGCTCTTGTTTTACACAGTGATTCAAACCACATAACCTGATAGAAACCACAACTTTTCCTGTGAAGTCTGATGACAAAATCTTGTGGCAAATGCCATGGAACCCAGGAAAGTTACTCCTGGTAGAAGTGCTACCTCATGGTACAGTCATTAAATCACTGACCGAACATAACAGCTACACACTTGTCAGCCTTACCTGAAATCACATGCTGTGGTAAGTTCTGCTCCTCCTCCAAAAGCTTTTCCTTGAACTAGTGCAACACTGATCAAAGGCAACCTGCACAAGAGACCTCAGTAAGAAAAATTCATGCTTATAGCCTTTCAGAAATAAAAAAAAACAATTCAACCAAAGCATTTCTACAGTAAAAGTTGAGAAAAATATACTGTTTCAATTTAATCAAATAACTACATCTTTGTGGGCAATTGGCACAACACCAATTCCACTTATGTCAAAATTACAATTGCATAATTGATACAGAATCCCAGAATGAAACAGCAACACAGATATTTTAAATGGAATCAAAATAAAGATCATGTACTGAAAAACACATGTTATGAAAAATACCTGCTCTAGAATATATCTGAAACGACTACCTGTGAGGAGTGACAGGATAGCAACACAAGATTCTACTCTATGCCACTGCACCACAGAAAGCAGCAGAAAGACACAAAGAACTGAAGGGCTGAGTTATCTAAAATTAATGAGATTCGCCATGACAGCTTCAGCAGCTTCTTCAAACAGTGCTACTATCTCAGTCATCAACAAAACTTTTTTTGCAGACAAAACCTTTTGAGGAAAGCAGCAATCTGTTACCTTTGTTGGTGTTGTATTTAATCATGTTCAAGGTATTTAATCATGTTCAAGGTAATTCAAAGGACAGAGGAAAGGAAAAGTTTCTCCACTGCTGATGTGAAATGAATACTAATGAGCAGTGACTTAGGATAAGGCAAGTTCCTTAAGAAATGAAGGCAGCTGGTTACTCACAGAATTTGCACATTAATACAGCTGTTTCATCTTTTACTATGAAGAGACATTTAGCTTTTTGAGCAGTTTACAAACCACATTCAGAAGTCAGCATCCTAATCATAACCACATGTTTGGTTTTAGTTCTCCTTCAACAGAAGCACCAACACTTTCTGACATCCCTTACAAGTTCCCAAGTTCCCTTACAAGCTGCAGCACAGTTCATACAATACATGGCACAAGAGAACCCACTGGAAGAGGGCAATGTCATTTTTCCTGTGCTTTATGAGAAAGCAGAAGATGTGGGTCCAAGATTGCTACATCCACACTCTAATCCATTTGAGGCACCTCTCTCAGGATCAGTCAGCCTCAGCTCTGAGGGAGACTAATCCTATCTACAACAGATGTCCCTGGACAGCAGCTCAGAGCTCCCCCTGAACCATGGCTTAAAGATACACTAAGTCTACACACCTGAGGTGGGGACTTAATCTTCACACATCTTCCTCCTCTTAGCTTTGCCCCATCAATTTCGATTATATGGAGACAAGCTTATGCAAATGGCTTCCAATCCTTCCTGAGGATTCCTTACAATACTACTAATGTAAGTTTCCAGTCTCCTGGGTAATTTTACAGAAAAAATGTTAATTCATAACATTTTCTCATACAGATTATTTGAAAACAATGAATATTTGAAAACAAAGAATATTCATCTTCAAAGAGCTCTAAGCAGAAAAACATAGACTCTACCACAAATGGATTTAATGGAAACGTGACTTCTAAAGGGAAGCTAAGTCTAAAGGAAAGGGTGTTGTTTTCAGAATTACCAGATGGTAGAACTGACACACTCCTCTTGTGAAGTGGGAAGATTTAATAAATATATCAAATAAATGTTACCTATGTAGGCTGCATAACCTGTTACTGCTTGTTATTTAAGAGCTACCGATTTCCAATGAGTTAGAGAGGTTGAGGTTCAGAAAATCTGAAGGCTTAGATTTCCTTAATTCTTGGTATCTCCTAGTATTTCCTAATATTTTCTTGGTATTTCTCCTTGGTATTTCCTTAATTCTTGGTATCTACACATATAAGCCTGTTTTTTTTTTTTTTTCCTGTTCCAATCTCTGGAAAATGCAATAGTTGCAAAATGTTAAGATCTAATTTAAATCCATAAATACCTACCTGATTAACATGTGTGAATACAAGGTCTGGGATTCAAAATTACATATATAACATACATATTTACATACATACATACATATTTATCTTTAAACATCTCATTAAAGAATTAGCCAAAATACATTCTGATACTTATAATTACTTCATAAATGGGTAAATAAAATATATTACCTCATAAGTCTGGTTAAGGTGTTTTGCATAAACATGCACATATTCATCCCATCCTACAATGAATAGGAAATTAAAAAATGTTATGTGATCCTAATGTGAAGCAATTAAACACACAGACAAAGTAAACAGGAGTAAGCATTCTTTATATTTACTTCAGCTGGGTTTTGTCTCTGGTTCATGTTGCCCAAATTCTAGCCCAACCCTGCTATGCACAAATAGAAAACATAGTATAAATCAGGTTAAAAAAAAAATCAGAACTCAACTGACTTATATAAATTTCAGTTAAAATTAAGCCACTGTTAAAGTAATTGCAATACTGAATTTCTATGTTGTGAAACTTTTGTGTTTCCTCTTAATTTCCTCTTCTCACTTCAAGTTGAACACACATAAATCTGAGTTTTTAAATTCTGTACAAAGTCACAGTGTGCTACATACTTTTTACTGTCCCAAATCCATAAAGTTTTAGACAAGATATAATTTACCAATTTTATCTTTAATGTTTGGGCCAAAAGCATTTCAGCTAAAAAAAGGAAACTAAAAACACCAAACCACAAAACACTGAAACAAATTAAAAACCAAACCAGAAAGAAGATTCTTCTTATGTCTCACATCCTTTGTGTTTTACACTTCCTTGCAATCAACAGTGAAAAAAATACAATCATTTACTTTTCATCTAGTACAAGAACTAAAGAGCTCCAAATAAAATACATTCATAACAAATATTTATTCCTACAACGTGTAGTTAAAATGTGGAACACTTGACAGCACCCTCTACATGATTTCAAGAACAACTTCATAAACTCATAACAGGAACATCAACAAAAGATTTTTACATAGAAGGCAACACCTCCAGCTCTAGAAGTCTTAGTGACAAGTTGCTGGGAGCTAAGAAAATATTTTGAGACAAAATCATTATCTATCTGCCCTCCCTGTTGTTATCCTCTTTCTCAGACATCTAGAATTAATCAGGAACTTGTCAAGTAACTGGGCTAAATAATCTAGAACCACCATGTTCATATACATACTGAACTGAACAACACATATTATTTATCCCAGATAAAAGGAAAACATTATGCTTGGACACTGCAGAAATAAAAAACCAGTAGGTAAAAATTTCAGCACATCTTTCAGATAATAAAGAAAAAAAATCCAAACAAACCCAACCAAACATCTCTTTACCAGAATTTACTAATTTCTAAAACACAGTTTTACAAAAGCTGGCAATTTAGAGAAACTGCCTAAATTAAAAGCCTTTGACTCAGGGAAAGAAAATATATGCAGTAAGTCTTCAGTACATCTTTGGAATAGAACCTTGAAATAACAGTAGGCCAATTTCAGGTGATTTACTATCCATTTAGTCGTGTATTCCCAAGAGCTACTCTGCCCAAAGCCAACCAGCATTATGTTTAGGTGCACATCTCTGGCAGATGTGAGTGCCATGACAATTGTTACACAAGAACCAGTGTATTTAGTTTTACTGCACTAAAGGGCTGCTTGAAAATTTTAGCACCTGTTGATTTATAAAAAGGCTTTTACTTATCACTGTAACCATCTCCTACACCCCCTAAGAACAGTCGCAATATTTCTATTTCAAATTAAAGAACATTCAAACCCTTTGTGATAGCTGCCTTAGTAGCTAAGTTCAAATCCCACACAAACATACAAGGTACCCATTCTCAGACACAGACTTGCACAATTCCCATATTACAACTGTCAGGATGAAGTTGCACAAAAGCTCTTCAGAGAACACGATTTTTCACTTCATCACAGCAGAATCCTTGCATTCAAACTGGCCTTCTCAACTCATGACAAAATCCAAAATGGTAATTAAAGATTAATTCCAGAACAGACAAACTTGAAAAATGCATTTATGTCTGAGCAGACAAAAATAAAGTCTTCATTCTCTCAGGTGGTAGAGAGATTACTGTGTATCCCATGGAAAAAATGACTGCACAGAAAACACTCCTTAAAAAAAAAAAAACAAACCAAGGGAAAAAAAAAAAAGCAATTGCTTGAGTCCTGGCAAATAAACCCTTCAAACCTTCCTGACAAGAAAAATAAGGCTACTATTCAGATAAAATTCTCTGACTAAGAGTGTTCACTGCAATCTAGTAGAATAATTATATTTGCAGCTCTAACGCTGTCCTTGAAATAAGAAGATATCTAACTAGCAGAAAGGGAGGTAAAATGCAGTAAAATGCACTACATATGGAAGAAAAGGATTAATAGTTTGGTGTGGGCCTAGGAGAGACAGGGAAGAAGAAAGTCACCTTCATAAAGTAGAAAACTGTAATGCTGACTCTTATTGCTGCAAGAGCTTTGAATTCATTTGCACTACAGACAGAACATAATTTACATATTATCTCCAACTGCTCCAAAGTCCTCCCTCCACAGCTTATGTTTGGGAACCTCTGTCCTAAGGCTTCTAGACAGCAACAAGGAAAGCAAAATTATCCTTTGTGCTTCTTCCTCTGAGCTGTTGCTTTAAGAGCTATTCTTGCTTTTCAGCTAGGCAACTTTTCAAGTCTCACTCCAGAATGAGGCTCTTGCTCTGGGAACAGCTTACAGAGCCTTATAAAGACAGAAGGAAAAAATATTTTTTATTTAAATTCCACTATTCATTTACCTTTTGTGATTTGGTGATGTAATGTTAGCACTCAAAAAAGAAAAACAGGCAGGGGACCTAGGTTTGCTTCAGAGTTAGGAACAATTGAACATGGGAGAAGGTGGACAAAGAGGAAAGGAATGAAATGGGAGAGGAGGACAAAGAGCCACTAGGGGGCACGAAAATCCTTCAGCATTCTTGGCCATTCTTCTGCCGATTCTGCACCACAGGGAAAAGCAAACTGTACCGAAAATTATGAAAAATACAGTCCTCCCTCAACCAACCGGTTGAGGTTTGGAGGACCAAAATTAAAGTGTTTTCTGCAATTACTAAAAGATATGGGCTAAAGCAGCCTTGGAAAAAATTGTAAAGGACAGCTCAGTTGTTTGAGCATGGTGCTAGTAACAACAGGTTGTGGGTCCAATCCGTTCACTTAAAAGTTGGACTCGATCATCCCTGTGGGTCCCTTCCATCTCAGAATATTCTGTGATACTGTGAATGACACCAGTTCAGGCATGAAGCTAATGAAGCTATTCACCCTTTTTTTTTTGATTTTGCCTTGAAGATGCCTATGGACAGAAAACTTAACCTGAAACCAGACAAACACTCTCATCTGCATCAAGTTAGAGAGAAGAGTTCTGTAAGACTGAAGAACAGCAAATGCTATTCCATATTCTAGTAAAGCTTTATTTAATAAAGACTATTAAATCCCACCAAACAGATGCTTTAGGAGCTACTATAAAGAAACTCTCAGTAAAAGATAAATAGCTTGAACTCTCCAATGGAAATAGAAAAGCAACTATGTTTATTCTTGGAGCATTTCTGGTGACTCAGGCTTTAATTTCAATACTAGCATGAGATCTAGATTATGTGTAGAGAATTCTCAACAAAGTTATAACACATATACATTTCATTCTGTCCAGTGTATCTGTTATCAAACCTAGTCCTTGCAAGCGCCCTCTCTGCCACTGCAGTGGCTCCAAGTAATTTGTATAAGCATACAGAGAGAATACAAAATGTATGGAAGCAGAATCACTGAGATTTACTGAATGCAGAACTCTGAAGGAAAGCCTAGACTGCAAATAAGGAAAGAACTGACCTTGCTCGCCTTCACCTCCTTTTCTGTTGGTATAATGCTCAAAGAAGTTAAAAATTGCAGATCAAAAAAAAGATCAATTCAGAAAAAAATCACATCTACATCTATATTTTTTAAATTGCCAGTTTTTTTAAAATATCCAGATGAAAACGTCCCCCAAATCCATTAATACTATAAAGCATGACATTTCTGTATTAAGAAAAGCATCTCTCTTATGATGTTCCCAAAAGGAAACAAAGTGTCCTTTACCCTTTGAAAACTGGACTGTCCTTTTTATTTTACAAGGCCAAAAATAAAATCTAAGACATTGTGGGATTTATGATATTTAGTTTTATCAACAGAAAAAAAAAATCATCACTAAAGACAAATATCAGATTAACCAGTTTTTGTGTTGGTAGTCATACTGGAAGGGCCAATTAAATGTTTCATTTACATGGTTAAATCCTGAAACTTGCAGTGGCCACAAAAAAGCACCAGGATTGGCACTTACCACAACTGCAAACCAGGTCTAAGAGCAGCACAGGAAGACCCTCTTCCCTGGCAGTTGGCAAAGTCCTATTACACACATTGCCAAATCCACAAATTAACCCACAGAAAGAACTGTAGCACAGTTGGAACTGTGAAAGTTGTCCAATGGGTGGCATGAGCAAAAAATTGCCATCAAACCCCAAGCTCTGCAACTTCATAGATACACACAAGACTCACATGACTCAAGTACAGCACAAGAACTGCATCTGTTCTTCCATTTCATGCAGGTCCAAGCACAGTTTTGATAAAATAGAAACCTTTCTGTAATAGCAGCCATTCTAAATTTCTTTTTTTTACTTTAGAATATGAGAAATTATTACTTTCATCTGTTTCTAAAGGTCAAACTACAGAAGCACATTTTATCTGACGTGAAAATTCACCATATACTGCTGTGAGAAACTGAAATGACACTTTTAAAAGAAAAGGCTAAAATGAATATCTAGTGTAGGAATTTAGAGTTATGAATCATTTACAATAACATTTAAATCACAGCTTGAAGGAGCTGACAGCATTTTTTTTTTACCATTAAAACTCCATTCTGTGACCTGTATGTAAAATTGCAGAAGAATAGTGCAACACTTCTGTCTAAAAAGAATCTCAAAAAATTAAGTTTCTCCAAAGCCTTAATGCGTATTCATACTTGCCTGGGAATTGGATATTTCTTTGACAACATTTAAATCAGATCCTGAGCAAAAAGTATTTCCTGCACCATGGATTATAAGACCTTTGCCATCCTTCCAGTTTTCCAGTTCAGTTACCCTCTCCTGGAGTTCTACCATCATAGTGCCTGCCACAAGAGGGGAGAAACAAAATTTTTAACAGGAAATTATTATCACCATCATGTTTTTTTGTTACATTTTCCACCAGCAAAACCAAGTTACAGTTAATGCAGGTACAGTTAATACAGTTAATAAGTGATGGGCTTAAAATCACAACAGAAAGTATCATCTTAAATCCTGCACACAATCACTGGCATATATTTGTTCTCCAAGTATGCACTTCCCAACATTCCAAAGGATATTCTATATGAAAGATATTTGTGTTATACTCAAGAAAGCTCCAAAACAAAACCAAACAAAACCAACAAACAAAATCCTCTGCCTGATTTATTTCTGCTTGCAATTGCATACATTCAGGACAGATGAATTTATATTTATCCATCCAGATCTGTCCAACTAGTCATATTGAAGTTACTGACATTCTTCCCTGCCCAAACAACTGACAGAGAATAGAAAAGAATCGTGTCCAGGGTGGACTCAAGGCACAACCAGTCAATGTTAACAAAGGTTCCCTTCTAAAAAGACTCTCTTTATAGAGCATATCATCATACAGTACTAGATTTTTATTCCTTGTTTAAACATCCAATTCATCATAAAACGTCATAAACATCATATTTGCTTAAGTACCCTTCCTGACATGGAACTCTACAAACTCCTGTTTCTAGAGCTCATCCTAGACAGCAGCATCTTCCACAGCGATGGAATGTACCTGCATTAATTCAAAGCTCTTTCTCTCTGAATGACTATGACTCTGTCCAGTTATATACTTAAGAGAAAACATGTACAGAAATTAATTTCAGAAAGCAGAGTACATACAGGCTGATGACACTCTCAGCTTTACCCTTCTTTGACAAGAATTTGGATGGACATGGCTACATTCTTCAGAAAGAAATGTGCTTTTGATTAATACTTTCAAGGACTCTCTCCTCTGCTAACAGTGCTGCTTTTTTAACCCTATGCATGCATGCACACGACTCATCCTCTTCTGAAATCTCCCATTAGCAGCTAGTCTAGGGGACATTTATGTTTTCTTTCTTATGTTTTTTTTCCTTACAGTACATTATGAAGTAAGCTTCCCAGTCCCACATAAGAGTGAGCACTCAGTCAAGTATTTATCCCTTAGGCTTGGTGTCAGACACTGCAATAACACAGTTTGACAATATTTCTGAGGTAGCCAATAATCAAGTGGGCATTACATATTATATATATTACATATTATATACCAGAATAGCATAGAGTTGGGTTTTTTTGTACCCACTATCAGGTCCCTACTATGATCCTCTAAAAAATCCCAGCAGTTTTGCCAGTTGCTTTCCCTTCTGTATATATAATTTGGTCATGCTTTTTGTATGTTGCACATTACATTTGTTTTCACTGAATTTCACCCTGTTGATCTTGAGCTCTTTGCAGCAGCTAATCAAGATCACTGAATGCCTCTCCTCTACTCCAAAAAATAATCTTGCAAGCTCTCCTAATATGGGGTCATGTGACCATTTCAGCAGTTCACTTTCTGTTTCATCATCCAAGCCAAGAATGAAAATACTGAGCAGAACTCGGCCTAGATGAGATTTTTGTGGGTCTTCACTTGAAATGCTTTTCCAGCCTGGTGGCACACTCAACTTTTCTGCAAATGCTGCCATTCAAACAGGTGTGCATTAACTCTGTGGATTTCACTTCTTGCATATTTTCCTTCTTAAACCTTCTTAACAGAAAGGTATTTGGGATGGCATCCAAGCATTGCTAAAGTCAAATACAGCAGAACCACTGTTTGTGGTTCTTTTAATAGGCAAAGCAGTGAGGTATTGAAGAGTCTTTCCACAGAGTATTCCAAGAAAAAAATCAAGTTAACTGAAAAAATGCAGGATCCATATGAGCTTGTTACATGCAATAGCAGGGGATAAAAGACACTGGTCAGAGCCTGTTCTACCCTCCTGTGAGAGGCTCTTTTCCATTCCTGACAACACTGAACTAGTATTTTACCAACAGGTATTTTTCCTGATGTTTGACATAATGAAGAAGGCACAACACTAAAGCAAATCCTCATTCTGCCAATCTTAATCTTTCAGTATGTGATACCACTAAGTTCATGCTCTTTACAGAATTAATAATAAATAACTTGATTGCATTTTAATTATAATCTGAGCATAAATGTTTCCAAATAAATTCTAGAAAATAAAAACTATCATCATTATTTTCTAATTCCTACAGGCCAGCTTTCTTCTCTTTTAAACTACATTCAAGTTTAGTTCAGTGAGAGGCTGGGTTGCTGAAATTGGCTCTACCAGGCTTAAACTGACATATTAGCATTTGTTTCCAGAGAGGCCATTTCAAACAGGTGGCTATTAGATTCCAAATAAGAAGAGAAAAAAAGGCATAACAATCTCCATATCGCCCATTAGCAATTTGCCAACAATTTTGTTCTGTTTTTGATTTCAGGAGTTGCTCAAGCTTAGAATAAACATAATTCCTTTGAGATAAAAAAATGCTGTGTAAAGGAAATGCCTGGAAAATAGAATTTCCCTCAACAGTTTAATAATGTTTTGCAGCTTTCTAGAGGGAGCGTGCATGGATATATAAATTCACATCTACCACTATTCAGAAGCTCTGAGACACAGAATCAACAGAATTTGATGAGGAGGTAGCTGTATCTGCAGGCTCTGGCTGATGAAGTCAACCAAGTTCTGCTGAGGCAATTCAGGGGTAGCACACCCCATCCTGCCCCTTGAAGAGCATTATTTGATACACAACTGAAGGCAAAGGGTTAAGTTCCTGGTAGTTTCTCAGCAACTACATTTTACAAATAATAATGTTAAAAATGAAATTAAGATCAGTATAAATTAAGATGCCATACCATTCACTGCAGCAGCAAAGGGATCAGCCTGATTTTGCCTCTACTCTCCCTCCCTTGAAAACAAAGGTCTCTAGCAGAGGTGTACAGCAGAAAGAAGCAGCATCTCTTGAACTGACAGTAACATCTGCCTGAGGAATTTTTTGTGGCTATTGCCTAGCAAAATAGAGTACAGCTCTCTACACACTACTTTAAAACAGAACTGCCTGGCTGTTAAAACAGATCCCATGGCTCATTTGTTATATGCTAATGAGGATCTGTAACAAAGACAGAGTTATTAATTTCCTCAGTGGTTTTTGTAGGTCTTTGCTACTAGAACATCTAATTGACATACACTAATAAGTTATTTTCACAGCAGTGATGTAAGGAGAGAAGAGATTATTTTACAGACAACTAACTGAGCCAGAGAGAAAATGTCTGCTAATTTTGGGTGCTCATCTCCAGATGTGTGATATGATTTCAGCACATTAACATTACACAGAACATTGTATAGGCAAAGAACAGCTATCAGTTGCCTAAATGGCAGCTGCATCTGCTCAGCATGGCTACCAATCACTTCTGAGCCCCTCCTGGCAAGCACATAGAAAACAGAGAGCATATTTGCCACTTTCTATGGAAGTTTGGGTTAAGCAATTTTACTTTTATTACTCCTGATCTTCAAAGAGCAGAAAAACCCAGTTTGCTCTCTCCTTTTGCTGTTACAGCTCACTTTGCATGTCCCTTTCAACTTCCACAGCAAATAAGCTAAAAGCACTCAGTCTACAGGGTGTACTTTGCACAGTTTTGTTTTGAGTCAAAAATAGAAACCAATCTGTAGAAAAAGGAGAAACAACCATGTAATTATGATTGTATAGCAGCATGTATGCTGACAGGGAGGCATGCAGAAGGACAATCCCTATGCTAACATCTTTTAGCTACAATTTCTTAAGTTAGGTAATGATTTTATACGTGAGTTTTTTAAGCAAAACAAAAGAGAATGCAGAAACATCTGGGTGCATTACCACCAATTCTGCTGCTCTCTTAGGTTCCTTTCAGCTAACAATCACTAGTGGAAAGACTAGATTGGCATTCTGCATCTAAAGGGCACACTTTGCTAGTATGTTGCAAAATGTTTGCTCACAGCAAAGGAACAGTGAGAACTGGGCAGGAAGACAGAACAGCAACAAAGAAATTAGCAAAATGACACAAATGCATCCACATCAAAATATTAACAGACAAAATAATTCTTACAGTAAAGGCTTATGCACAGCTCCAGCTCAAGCAGGTTCACACCCTGGACCTGTGCCACTCATATCTGAAGAGAGTGGCATAAATTGGAATAATCTAGATAATTAGGAAGAGACAGCAAATATACTCAACTTGGAGAACAAAACCCTCTCATAATACAAGATTAATAAAATAGGGCACTTGGTTTTGATAGCTAAGTATTCCCCAGTGTAAAAGCATATTAAATAGATCACTGACCTGCAACAGCTGAGAATACCCAGCTCATCTGATCTTTAATTAACCAGTCACTGATATTTAAGACATAAGGCAAATGAAGAACAAATGGAAGCCAGTTTGGGTAAGTGGAAAAGACCAAACTACAGAAGTTTAATGTACAGGGAAGGCTTTAGGTAAAGAACCAAGCAATAAACTCAGTCTTTCTTTCTGTATCACCTACAAAAGGGAGGTGGCATTGTCTCATACCCACAGAAATGCCTTCCATATTTCCAGAGCAGTGATGACAAAATGAGAGGAGATGCAAGAAAGAGCTCAGTGGCAGAATTGTGCTAACACTTAAACAACATGGGGAGAAGCACCTTCTGCAAGACAGTCCTTGTGTCATTGAGAAGTTCTTAAGATTCTTATGACATGTACAGCAAAGTTACTACAAAACACTGGACACATTTGCTGCACATCAGAATAAACACATTTACTCTTTTAACTAAGGCGTGGTAAAGCAGAGTGTTTCTCTTTCTTCAGGCAAAATGTCAAAATAGGTAACTGAACAAGAGAAAGACCAAAACCTACCAGCAATCCCCTCAACTAATTAATACCTGTAAAGGCATTCATTAACTTTGGGTTATTCAAAGTAAGTATTGCAATGCCATTGTCTTCTTTCGAAAGGTTGATAGATCCACCAGAAAACTGCTGAAGTTTCTTCTTTATCAATTCTTCCTCATAGCCATGAGCACCATTATACAGTGACAACCTTCTTTGCTGTAGTATCCTTTTCATTGTAATCTGAAGAAAGTTCTTCCACAGAGCAAGGGCCATTTCTGGAAATACAAGGAGTGAGGGGAAGAAAAAATTAGGAAACTTCTTTTGAAATCCACTTCAGTCCTCTGAGAAAGAGGGAAGTATGACAGCAGCAACTAATATAAAGGTGATACAACCATAACAGTTGACAGAAATCACTGCAAACTATATTAGCAAAATTCTTCATTTGAATCTACCATCACAAGTAAACAGAAGTTGTTTTATGGAGTGATTTTAGTAGTTAAGCCAGGTATTAGCACCTTTTAAAATATTTCCTTTTAAAATTTACCAAAAAAGTTATTGTGTGCAGAAAGCAAAAGAGGATCAAAAACCACAGAAAAATCTACATATTCTACTAGACCAATTTACTCTGTATTACTCTTCCAAACCCTCCCTCACCCTTTGCTCAAAAAAAAATACCAAGACCCCCAAACACACCTATAATGGAGGAAAAATCCTATCAAATCCCACAACTCTCAAGATCTGGATGTCCTGCTTTTCTGTAAGCAACTATTAGAGCAAGACCTTCCCCAGAGAAATACCTGAGGAACTTAAAAATTAAGAACTGAAAATCATTCTTGTATCGAAGTCTGCTCCCTGTCACCTAATTCCATTAACACAATTGTCACGACTTATCTTAAAACTAATTAGTCTGCCTAGCCTTTGATTGCTATGTGCTTTTCCCAGTCATCCCAGTAGCACTTTGAGTTAATCTCATTTGGGCACAGAGTCTGTGCAGTGCTCCAAAGGATGAGAAGTGTACATCAGTATTATGCATTGAGCGCCATACTTGCCTTTTATACAGGTAATAATACTGGTAAAGTATTTCTGTGTACCAGTATACCCATGGCTTATTCCTCTGCTATTTCCACTCTACAATGTACGACTGTAGAGCAGGAAATAACAAGAAAGAAATTATCACTTGATCTGCATCTCTGCCTTAATTTATTTACTCTGGAAATGGGTCTACTGGAGAAAGCAGTTTACAAGTGACTTGAAAGAAACTGGGTAAAGCCTGAACTGAAAACAGCTGATCTGGAAATAAAGTCATCTTAGACACCAATCAGAATGGGAATCAAAAGAATCCCCACAGGATATGGGAAAAGAAATGCTTGTTATTTTGCAATTTGATAGAGTAGTCCTACCTTTGCCCCAGCCTACTTTTTAATGGGCTTGGCCATTCAGAAGACATGGTAGATGCTCATTTTTTTGATAACTGGGAAAAGACCTTCTTTGTTTCAGAATCATATTTGGCAGAAACAAGATACTTTCAAAATTGGCAAGCAGGTGTTGGTAAGTTTTTCTAAGGTGAACTCAGAACACAAACACATTCATTGAGACAGAATTTGGTGACAGCTATATTGTAGGCTCTGTTCAGGGTATCTTACAGACTCAACATTTTTGAAAACCTTTATTATTTACACATGATCAAGTAAATGCACATTAAAAACCACAGACAATTAGCTCCTAATGAAACAAGTGAACAGCCCTGTCAGGTGAACACTTATCTTGTCACTGGCTGTACCATTCTACACTAAACTTGAAAATGCTTCTGTTGGTTCAGGTATAGTCCTCATTCAAAGGGGGGAGGAGTTTGCAGAGCAACCACACTATGGGATGTGAAGGTACATGCAGCAATACCAGGCAACTGTGAAGAGCCATCTATGCCAGTAGATTCATACCTGTCCTGCCAAACTGCACCCAGCAATACCACAGGATCTCACAAGCTCAACACAAAGAAACTAGTAAGGCCTGCACAAATCTATGCATTATAAAATCATCTGCACAAGAAAACTTAAAGGGATGATTTTTTAATATCTGTTTGCAAACAAGGCTTTAATCTGTCATGATGAACTTTTCCAAAGTGTAAACTAATAAAACTAATTACAAAGTTTGATCAAGTTTAAAATCAAATTGAATACAAGATTCATTACTTCATTAAAAAACATTCCCTGACTGCTGCTGCACCCAAACACTCTCCATCTATGCACATTCTAAGAGTCAGCAACACCTCTGCTACCACCTTTCAGAGCTTTTAAAATTTTATTTAAAGAGTGAAAATGGGTTTCTAAAGCTCATTTCTCCTAATTGATTCTTTTTATATTCAGTCTCTCAAGAGAGAGACAGCCTTCCCCATTTCTCTAAAACCTCAGTAGTCATTCCTCAGCATATTAAAGCAATAAAACTTTCCATGCAGCTGCTAGCTTTTGCTCAGGAGAGAACAAACATGAAATACATGGACAGTGCAGCCTTTCCTTGTAAAGTGTACCTTGAACAACCAACTCCCAATTTTTAATGAATACAAAGTGTCCCCAGCTCTCATACTAAAACAGACTAGCTCGAATTCTCTAGGAAGCCCCAATGACTGGCTTGAAAGCAAAAAGGAGGGGGGAAAAAAGGCTTTTCTGCTAACTTAACCACTTGCTGACTTAAACTTTTCTTATGGCTTTTATACACTACTGAATTTCTCATGACAAGAAATATACTGAGCAAAACAAACTTAAGATATGGAAATTTTATTCCAATGAAAAAAGAGTCTGTCATTTTCAGCTGCGTGGTTATATGCATTAACAGCTCTTTAATATTATCACTATGGTAATAAAGAACAGCAGCAAGTGCAGGATTAGAAAACAAATTGGATACCACTGCCTGCTGATCATGACTCATGATTAATGACTCATGCAAGGTATAATCTTTGAATTATTTTCTTTACAGGCATCTCCTACAGTACCAGTCAGTGACCAATGCAATTTTTTAATAAAAATAAGATTATTTTAATAGTTCAGTCTGACTGAGCTAACCACTCAAGAAAAGTATGATAGGAAGAGCTAGAGCTCTCTCAGTCTAAAGGGATTTCTGTGATATCTGACAAACAACACCCAGAATTTCAATCAGTATGGAGCGCTCACAATCCACTGCATGACTGAGATTATTTCTGTATTTTGCATGAAAGCAGCGAAAGAAAGATGTTGCAGTAACACTTACAGTGTTGTAGGACCAGCCAAGAGATATTAGTAACACTAAAATTTTCAGATTTTCAGTTTAGCATAATCACATCTATTTATACATACTTACAGAAATGGAGTCTTAGTCTAATTTTAAACAGGCAACATGCTATACCCATTAGCCTCTGTAGCAAAGGTAATTTATTCACAGTTCCTACAATGAAAAAAAGCCCAACCTGACAGTATAGGAATAATAGTGGTCAATTAGCATCTTTCATATGCTTTAAGTGCTACAGCTTTATATTTCACTGGTGACAACTAAGAGAGAAGCCAACAGTATGGACATCAATAGCTGCTCATTCCATAGTTATTTTACCTCTTACATGAACCAACAGTTTAAATCCCATTTGACACTCAAGTGATATTGTAACACCCTTGCCTGTGGGCCAGCAGACTGTGGGTTAATATAAACACATCCAGTGCCAGCACTTCAGTACAAAGGACCAGCACACATTAAGCAAGAGCAGCACATGTATCTACAAGAGCAGCAGATGTATCTACATGCAGGCACTCACAATCTATGTATTTTTGTGCATGCAGATTATCAGAGGCCTTCTGACAGCCTCTGGCAACTGTCTAGGTAAAATTCAGACCTTACAATGTTAATAAAACATAGGAATACTAGGGATAACACCAACATCAATACTCTCTGAGTAGATTCTTTGGGAAATTTGTAACTCTTGAACAAGGGTATTTGCCCTAGCCATTACCACTACTCTGTTGCAACCCAAATGTCTCCTAACACATGATGCATCAAACAGCAACCTCCAGCAATGCTGCCAGTTGCAATTATCACTGAACATTAAGACATCTGGCCAAAGTAAGAGGTAAGGGCTGTATGTAGCAAGTTTCTGGAAGAAAGGGCAGAAGAGCTAATACAAACCAGAGAATTGAATCTTAGGAGCTGTATGCTCAAACAAGAAACACTGCACTACACAGCAAGCTAAATCAGCAAGTTAAAATACATGAGCAAGGAAAATTCCAGTTCAAAAATGGTGCCTGAATTATTGACACAAGTCAGGGAAAAAGAAAATGGGGAAAAAAAGATACAGGGATGTGTTTTCAATACATCAGAGAAACAAGCATGCCCTTTCATCTGGGGCAGGATGTGACAGGTGTGATGAGCAGATATAGGCCCTGGAAAAAAAACCCATCAACTGAATTTCTGGGTTTGGATGAAGGTATACTGAGATTAAGCATAACACAAATAAAGGGATTCAACAGACAAAATCCACAAAATAAATCTCAGGGAGGAGAAAATATTCAAATGGCATTAAAAAAACAATTAGGCACTTTTGTAAGACTACCAAAGGTATCAAGGGCACTTGGTCAAGAAGAAAATCTGACTTGATGAAGACCTTTGGCAGTTGCAATTTCAGCAAGAAGCACAGAAGTGCAAAGAAGGGAAGGAAGGTTAGAAGATGTGAATTGAGGATAATGATGAGATGACTCACAAATCAACCCTGTGGATGGCTTACCAGTCATTTAAAAGGCATTAACCTGTACTAGAGAGCAGTCACCATGACTGGCAGATGCTTCAACAGGTTCCTGCAGTGGCCAATTAATGGAAAGCAAGTGGTGGCCCAGTACTGAGGGCTGGCACAACTGACCCTAAAGCATGAAAGCAGATGAAAAGGCAGAGTGATGGAGAAACAAAGCATGAAAATAGTCAATTTGTAGGGAAAAAAAAAAAGTAGGTTGAAAATGAGTTGAAAATAACAACTGTCTGTAACCCTAGGAAGTAGGCTGGTGGGTGATTATATGGAATAAAAAAAAAGAAAATAAATTATGGTGTTGGACAAAGAGAAGAGACTCAAACACAAAAAGAGGCCAGCTTGGTCTCACAGTGACAAGGAGTCAGTAGACCCTGCCTTCAGACACAAGAAAGGTGTAGTAGGGTGGACTCACACATAGGATTCCTCTGTTGCCAGTTGCTTGTCACCACCACCCCTCACCTGAAGGTTCCAGAGCCCTCCACCACTTATCCATCCACTTATCCATCTCTCTACTTTCCTTCCATGATGCGTGGGTTAGGTTAACTTAAACACCTTGTCCAACAGGTTCTCCCACTCTAATAATTACCAGATGAAGCAAGCTGAGGGCAGTCACTTCTCCAGCTGCTGAAAGCAATCAGTGAGCAGATCATAAGCATGCTAAAGGATCAGCAGCAGAAAACCTACTGACAAAACATAATTTGCAAATACAGAAACTAAATAAAGCTGGGGAGCTGAGGAGATTCTGCCTCCCCAACTAGGGAACAGATCCCTCATGCCTTTCTCAAAATGTCATGGCTCTCAAACTTGCTGAGCCCTGTTCAAAATTTTACTACATTGTCTCTGGTACCTGCACTGTAGACAAATTAGATGGGATCAACAATCCCTCCAGTTCATCAAGTTAGTTGAAAAGCCTTATGACTCCTCTAAAAACAGGCTTTAAAAGTAGCTGGTATTTTAAAGGACAATTTTGTATCTTCTGTATTACTGTTGAGAGAACAAAAGATTTGGGCCTGCTACTTTCTAGATGTCAGCATTAGAAACAAAGTTTATCCATCCAGAAGCTGAGAAAACAAGAAATGAGACCATGTCCAAATTAACTAACTGAAATAGCATCAAATAATGTACAAGGGAAATAAAAACTAACTGGAGGAAGAAAAAACTTTTAACCCTGTAAGTCAAAAAAAACCCTTGTCTGTAGATTCAGTTTTAAGCTGGCTGACCATTTACACCCCATTTCTGGTTTTCTCTCTCTTTTTTTCTTGTTATTTCATTGTTTCTGAGCAGCTCAATTCTGGGCATAGTAAGCTATGGCTTTCCAAACTATGTGCTCTTCGTTTAGTTTTTTAATGATCCCTGTAGTTTAGAGTTTAGATGTGAACTGTCCTTCTATATCTAAACAATTACATTCTCTCTTAATTACATCTTAATTATTTTGAAGAACAGTAAACAAATCACAAAGATACATACTGAAAAACAATGGTATTTAAGGATGCAAAACAGCTGACAAAGAAAGCCATTCCATAAATATAGATGACGCTACCTAAAAACATTTGATTTTGGTCCGATGGTGAGTGAAAGATTTTGAGTTTCATAGTAGAGCAAGAATCTGTTATCTTCTGCAAAAGGCACTCGGGCCCTTTATTTTTTAATGCTTTGATCCAAAGAGGTTCTCTTCACACGTGTCATCAAAGGAGCTTTTTTACAATGACAGAAAAGTCTTTTAAGTTCACTGCCCACTAGGTGTGTTTTAGAGACCTTTAAGAAGGGCAGATGCATAACTTCACACGAATGGAAACAATCACAACCAACTCATCATTTGCCTTTCAGTCACCAAATCCTGAACCATAAATACATGAATTCAATTCTTGCTGTAACCGCAAATACTGATGCTTTCCCAATGGTTGCCTTGAAAAGTGTAACTTTTATAGTCAAGAAGTATTCTGAATTCCACTTAATTCACTGTTCTTTACTATTCTCACCTTACCACCACCACCACCCATAAAAGCTCCTGCCAACTCCAAAAAAACCATATACCGAGGTCCGAACCGACCACGCAGCCACGATTCTCCTGTCCCCCTGTCACAGCAGTGGTGACCAGCAGCACCACACCGGGACTGCCTGTCCCCGGCCTCCTTGGCTCCACACACTGAATCCCGGGAAGCAATGGCAACCTCCCTGCACCCTGGGAAGATGTCAAGATTCAAGAGACCGAGGGGTGGAAGCTACTTCCCCAGCGGACATTTCTTGCTGCTAACCCGCGATGCCAAAATCCCGAGCAGCGCGCTGATGCACGCGGTCTGACCTAGGGAAGCTTCTGACACTTTTTTTTTTTTTTTACAAAATGACTTTATGTTAAATCAACCGCCAAGGCAGGGCTCAGTGCCGAGCAGGGCCGAAGTGGGCGGTGACCGGCTGTTCCCAAAGCGGGACCCGAAGTATCAGGGCTGAGCAGAAGCACCGCCGGCCTCTCTCGCACCGAAGGAGCCACCTCGCCTCAGCCGCGGGCGCCCCGAGGCCTCGCGGGGACCGGGACGCCCCGCGCCTGCCCCGCCCCGGCAGCGCCGCCTCGGCGGCCCCGTTCGCCCGCAGAGGCCCCTTTTCCCCCCGAGGGCCGCGGGCGGCCGGGGCAGCGGAGCCCCGCGGCCGGCACTGACCTGGGCCCGGCACTGACCGGCCCCGGCGCCGGCGGAGCAGCGGAGGCGGGTGGTGCTGCGGGGAAAGGGCCCCGCCGGGAACCGCGGCCGCGGCCTCCGGGCCGGGCCCGGCGGTGTCGGGGCAGCCCCGGGCCCGGCGGTGTCGGGGCAGCCCCGGGCCGACCAAAGCGCATCGAAAGCCGACTGAGCCCCCGGGAGCTGGGGCTGACTTGGGGCCGGCAGGAGAGGGCTTCACACCGCGTCCATAGAGGCCGTGACTCCGAGCAGCGAGAACTCTGCCCGAATTTAAGCAATTTTGAAGCAGACGATACTTGTCAGCTCCAAGGTTGCTAAATACTACATAAGCAGGTCGTCATTATTGTTTTTTTCTGCACCGATCGCCTCCATCTCTAAAAACCAAGTCCAGTGTTTCTATCCTAGTCAGGGGAATTGGAGATCCTTGTTTCTCCGCTGGCTCAGGACAAGGTCTCGCCCGAGGATAGGAATCGCTGCCGGGAGCATCCAGCCTGGAGCGGCGGGGCCCCCACCTGCTGTGCCTGGGGTGCGCAGCAGGCAGCAGAGATGTCAGCTCCCTGTCCACGTCGCCACAAGGAGAGACTTGGGCTCCCCATTTTCACATCCATCTGTTTTACCTGTCAGCCTAAGTGGGAGCTCTTTCCAGCTGTCCTGCTCCTGGCCGCTGTGTCTCTCCGGCTCCAGGTGCCGCTCACCTGCACCCAGCTCTGGCAGCTGGGCCGAATTGCTGAGCAAGCCGCAAGCTACCCTGGCATCAAACTGGACTTGTGTAAACTTGAGGCTGGCATAAAATGGCACTGTCACACACAACCCTGCCCTCGGTTTTGCCAGCAGCCAGATCAAGGGAAATAAATGGTTTCAATGAAGATTGCAAAGGGCTTTGCAAATTCAAAACATTATGCAAATATGAGCCAATCTTTCTGTGTCCTTGTTGAGACATATACATAAGACAACTCAGTTTTAAGTATTTGTAGCATGGCTGAAATATGTAACTGGAAATATATCTTCTCCATCTTTATTAAAGCTGTTTTTCAACCCTACTGTCAATACAAATGTTCCAAAATTGGCCTAGTTCATTAAAAATTATGATTGAATATGTAGGGATTCCAATTGTTCATTTATGTGGGGAAAACAAAAGTTTTACACACTGAACAAGTGCTTTCAACTTTGTATTATTCAGAGACTCGAGAATATGACATAGTCTAGTTCCAGGCAGTGCTATCTTTATACAACAGAAGGATACATTTCCTTTTTACAACACTCTCTGCAACAAGCAGGCTTGCCTCTTGTTTTTCCTCTTGGGTTCACAAAGAATTTTTCCAGTAGGATTCAGCCCTGCAGTTGTGTCTGGAAAACCTCAATAAAGATCTGTGTGAGTGAAGCTGCTCTCACCAGGTCCTGCTCCAAGGGCTTGTCCCCTCTTTGGAGCGGAGCGATGCCCAGGCACGTCCCAGCTCGGTCGGAAGGAGAGGAAGGCGACGGCGGCTGGAAGCTCGTGATTTTCCAGGTAACATATTGCCACCTAGCAGCGCTTGCTGGAAGTAGCACAAACCGCACCGGCAGATCCATAAACCAGTTTGCCTCATTGTTGGTTTTATTGCCTTGCGTCATATAGGACATAAGGAAAAGACTAGGATGCACTCAGAGTGAAGAATGAGAATTGTAGGAAAAGGAACAGGCTGATGGGATCATCTTTGAAAACAGACATTAAAGACCAGACAGGCTGTAACTTTCAGCAGGATGGTGACTAGTCCCCTGGATGTTTGACTGTACAATAAGAAAGCAAAAGAGAGGGAAAAAAATGTAAACTCCTGCAAAGTTGCTTATTCTTATTCTTGCACATAATTCCACTGATTTCAATAAAGCTTTCTCCTTGCATTGCTGAAGCAGTACTGACCTAGGAGAGTCAGGTCACCACCTGAACTATATGGAATGTGCCCATTCCCTGTTGCTGACCCAGAAGCTGGCGACAATGTACTGGCTAAAAGAGCAATGCTTCACTCTCGGTTTCAAGGCTGCCAGACTGAAATATTGAATTCCAATAGATACAGAGCTCCCGGGTGCTATTTTTATGAACTCCTTTCAGAGCAATGGAACAGATAGATGACAAGATCTGGGCTTAGATCTCAGGAATTATTGGATACTAAACAACACATAAACCCATAGCCAGTTCATAAAGAGTCCCTTGAATGTAATTTTTAGGAGGCAAATATCATCAGCTCTGTGTCGAATTCTGGTAGGCTAAAGGATGGTGTAACATATACTTCAAAGACTAGGCCCGCATAAAAAGATGGACACATGCATTCTATTCCTAAATTTCTGAAATATTTCTAAAATCTAGATTTCTGGATCCAAAATCATAATATTCAGTTTCTCCTTGCAGCCTCACCCAAGAGGCTCTCAAATCCCATTGGTGCCTGACAGCTGTGATTCATGGGAAGACACAATTTATATCAGGTTGGCTAACAAGACTCCCACCCCAGCTGTCTCTCCTGTCCTCACTGCAGATATCTGAAATACCCCAGAGCTGCTGCAGCTTTCTAAATGCAGCCCCATGTGCCAAGTTACACTTTGTTTGATTTTGTTAGGCAGGGGCTGGCTGGGGACAGGGCAGTCACCGTGAGTACCTCAGAACTGCAACTGTATCAGTACTTGTATGTCAGCCCGTTGTTCACTTCATGCACCACAGCTGCCAGTTTCTCACACAGTATTCGGTCACTGGATGTGTCTGCAAAGGGCTCAGCTCTTCCCAGGTAGCTCCCTACCCATCCTATCACCATGTGTTGATTTTATGTTCTCTGTCTATGTTGTTTAAGGATTTCCTCCTGCAGAGCTGACTCTGAGCTCCAGCAAGGCATAGCTGGAAGATGAGGTAAGGAAACACCTGCCTCTGTACCACAGCATGGGAAGTGTCACCCAGGCCCTCTTCTGACAAAGCAAACCAGCTCATTTCTCTGGGGAGGGCGCTCTGATCAGGAGGCTGTGGTGTATTGTTGGGAAGTTGAGAGAAAGAAGCCCTGGCCCACATGCCAAAAGCTGTTTTTCTTGACACAGCATAATGAAATATTCATCAGGCCAGAGAGCAGGAGAGAGGCTCAGCACAGCCACAGCTTGGTATACTTGCTCACAGTCTCAGTGACCCTGCAAATACTAGATATTTAAACATTAGTAGCTACTTAAGTTAGTGTATGAGTCTATGGCCTTGAAGGTCTTTTCCAACCTAAACTGTTCCATGTTTCCATGCCATATAAAGCAACTTGAACAGGTAGAGTGAGGTACGCTCTTGCTCTGCAAAGTCCTCTCTCTGGTTACAGCTCACTGTGGGAAGAGTGGCCTCAGATCAACCAAAAGGGTCATCAGGTCCTTGCCACAAGCTCTTACCTTTCACTTCACCAACACTGTCATTTGCTTAGACAGTAATTTTCTGATAGAAAATACATACAGTACAAAAACATGCTTGTTTGTGGTGTACTGTCCTACACAAGATCTGATTTCACAAGACAAAATAACAGCCCACTTCCACTGGGAGGGGGTGGTCCCACACTTCTCCCTTCTCAGTCCTGGGAGTGAGAACTAGGGGAGAGCCAGCTGAACTCACCCAGCTGTCAGGAAACTGCTTTAGCACAGCAACTAGTTTCTCTCTGGATTCCAGGGCTAAGGAACTGAATCAGTTTGGCTTGCTGCTGGTGGAGCCTGAGGGACACAAAGCAGGGGAAAGAAGATGGAGGAAACTAGAGGAGGAAGACCATCCTGTTTTAGCAGCATTGAGTTATCAAATGGGCTCAGTTCTATTATTAGTTCTGACTCTTCCAGTGGCACTCAGGGCTTTGGGAAGAGGAAGTGGGGCAGCCAGCTACTGGGATGGGCTAATTGTACTGGAAAACTCCACCCTAAATCTCTTCGAAGATCTGGCTTTCTTTCCTTCATTTCCTTAGGTCTCTGTTGCTACTCCATTCTGTAAAACTTTCAGAGGAAAAAAAGCATCTCTTTCTCCAAGAGCATTTGAATCACACCAAAGTAGGCCAGGTGATAATTGCACACCACATTGTAGTGCTGCTTAAATGTCAGATGTTAATTAAAGCCTTTCCTGGAAATGGGGCATTAATTAGGGCAAATGCAGCCATTCTTTATGGATACTGACTAACCAGTGAGTAAAAGCATTATTTAAACACTGGTATTGAAACTGTTAATTTTTATTTGTCTGAGGTGTGTTTGTTATTGAAAGAAAAACAACTGAAAAAAATTATAACTCCTTGAACTTACTGTTCTTTCTTTTAAAGACAGTTTTAAATAATTATTTTGGCACAAGAATATTCACGCACACACAGATTGCAATAGGAACATTTCAGTATTAGGTCCAGATGTCTCTAGCAGTTGTATAACCTTGATAGGAATGCTTAAATGCTGTAGATATTAAATACAGCTCTGACCTGCAAAAACAGCCTGTTGTGGCACTTCACTCATGTCTTTCTGTTCTTAAGAAAATGGCACTATCTGCATGAATAATGGTACACCAAAATGTTAGCTAAGTCAGGGCCAAAAAGTAAGGCATATGTTCCCTTTGAAATTTTTCTGAACAACTCTGAATTGTTGGGAAGAATCATAATATTGATAAAGGATGTAAGTGTTCGAGATTTAGGATATATATCGAAGCTTTGCAGGTTAACCATCTTGCTTTTTGTTTCTTTGGCCTGGATTCAGCAAAGCAATTAAGCCCCTAAATAACACCATTGATTTCAGTGACACATAAGCAGTTGGTTGAATCAGGCCCACTCTGCCTGCCAAATCACATTCCTTCTTGCCTCCCAGTGCATTAGAGTTTTTGGAAGAGCTGTTCCAGTTATTATCAGTAGCTGTAACATAGAATCATGGTCTACACTGGCACTTCTGTGCCTAGATACCTCTGCAGGAGGTCCACATATGAGAAACTGTGCAGAGATCTGGCTGCAGATTTCAGTCTTTAGCACTGCTGCATTTCCACCAAGCACATGGCTGAGCACACTGCTGCAGGCACCATCCATTGCAATGTCTTTGTTGTCACAGCAGCTACATCTCTGCAGCTATGGCAGAGACAAACCCTTGATTCAGGACTGACCTCTTCAAGTCTGGCCATTGGAAAGAATTCCCTGTATCTGCCATGCCAGAGAAGCAACTGTTGTGCATGGAGACCATGAGGTGGTGGCGGCACAAGTCCTGCAGCCATTTTGGGCACTGGGGCATAGGTGGGTGACACACTGACTGCGAGATTCCCAGCTCCAGTTCCTATGGCTGCTGGTCACAGAAATACTACACTGATGTTTGTTTTGTCCATTACATTGTTCTAATGCCCCTTTTCACGTGAAGAGATTGTGGTTCCAGGTAAAATGGAAAATGCTGTGATGTGATGTGAGGATTGTTGTTAAATGGGAAGAACTGGAATATTTTTAGGTACCTCTTTATGGTAGCATTATCCCCTGCTCTCATCTGCTGTTATGTTTCTATTTCATCTTTCCTGGTCATCACTATTTTTCATTCATGATATTTTTCTAGTTCACACTTTATAGAGAAAGGAGAAATTGTGAGAATTAAGTGGTGGCAGGAGGGGCAGAGCATTCCTCTTTAAAAGCAGAGGTTTTATTTTTCTCAAGTACGTGTTACGTAAGTGTATCACTTCCACAGCTGAAATATTTCAAAAGATGGATAATGAGGTTGTCAGCTGGATTGGGGGAGAGCTCCCTGCTGAATTGTATGACTCCGGGTTCACCACGGCTACTGGACTTTATATGGGAAAATGGACCAGCTTAGAGCTCCTCCTGTAGTAGCCAACATTAAATAGAAGCCCAAAGCATATGAAAATATTGTAATGGTAAAAGAGGTTATTTAAAAAGGGAACTTCTGACCATCACCTGAGATTTCATGGTATTAAATCTGGGTATTTTAATAATATTAAAGAACAGTTGATAGCTGTGATCATGTTTCTGAAGTAGTTAATTAGGCTAAATTAGTTTATCTCTACATGCCAGTGTTTTTTAACTATTGTAAAAAGCTGGGTTTGTATATATTTCTTTGTTTTCACAGAAAAAAAAAATTGAATGTCTACTAGTCTTAAAACCTTTAAACATTAACCAGGCCCTGCACTTTTTCTCACTGAAAGCATAGTCCTGTGCATATCTAAGGTTCTAACCCATTGCTCTTTTTTACAGTTTCAAAATTTACTGCTTTTGTGGTTTAGTTCAAAGCTAAAAGCAAATGCAGAGAGATTTGGAAATGAAATAAACCTCTCGAGATTTTTGTTGTGGTGTGATGTTTCCTGTCCTGGTTCATTTACCCCTGTCAACACAAGGTAACTGGACAAACAGCATACAAACCCATCAGTTAAGTGTTTGGGTTTTTTTAAAAAAAAATAAATACAGCCTGAAGTAACAGCTAACAAATAACACTGGAACATTGATCTCTTTCAGTCACCCTATTGTTCACGCAATGTTTTCTTTTGCAGTACACTCAAATCTTATTTTATTCAACTTGCTCTAGATAGGTGTATGTTGCCAGCTGGCCCAAAGAAACAGGGGTGCAAAATCCCTGGACTGTCCAAGGTAACCAGGGGACGGCAGTCTGGAGTCAGCATAAGTGTA